CACCCACCCAGCAGGCGCTGGGCCTCACAGTGGGAGGGAGCTGCCGGTCCCAAGCACTGCAGGACGTGTGGAGGCAAGAGCGAACCAGGATCAGGGCTCACGGCGATGCCTTCAACCCCGCCCAAAACCTCCGCAAGGCCCCAGCCCTTTGCGAGCACCCCGAGAGACCACAGAGGCCTCGTACCTGCGTGGTGCCGGTCCCTATCCGGGCGATAACGACCTCCTGGCTCTTCGCCTGGTCGGTCACCTTGATCCCGTGTCGCACCTGGATGTGTTTCTCCAGGATGAGCCGGCTGCTGAAGGTCCGTTTGCCCTCTGTGCAGTACCTGCAGGGCCAGAGCAGGGAGGCAATGAAGCGATGCTCCGCAGTGAGGAGCGGAGCCCCAGGCCTGCTCCAGCCCTGGCTCCCCTGGGAAAGCTTTAGCTCTGGCATCCTGACCCCCGACTCTAACCACAAACGTGCTTATCCACATTCCTCCAGAGGGTATAAAACCCCGGAGTCCTTCCCGGTACCTCCTCTCCCTCCTACTTCCAAGACACTTGTTCAATCCCCATCATGCTTCAACCATCTGTAGCTTTATGCTCCCCACAACAGCTTGACTGAAGGAAACCAGAGTCACCCCTAAACCAGACCCCTTTTCTCAGCCAAAGCCAGAAGGTGCTGTGGGTACCGGCAGGGATAGACGCGCTTGATCCCTTCGTGATTCACTCGCACGTGTCTCCGGAGGCTGGGAGCGGAGCAGAATGAACGCTCGCACAGGTGGCACGGGAACTTCTTCACGGACTGCAAGAAACAAAGAGGCAGGTGGGTACCGCACGGGGAGCCGAGAGGCCGGAGAGTGGGGCTCCCCACTTGCGTGGAGAAGCGGAACGTGGGAACTCGGCGCTGCCTCAGATTTCCTCTCCTTGCCCATCCCACGGCTGCACATTTGGACAATGAGTATCTGGTCTTTGCTGTTCACCAGAATAGGTGACGTCCCTGCTCCCCAAAACCTCAACTCTGACCGAGTTTGTACTGGGGGGAGAAGTAATGTCCAGACTGCGGCAGAACATGCTCCCGGCCCAGCAAGGAACCCGGGTGTCCTGCCCCGCTGCTCTGTACCATAAACATTCCCTGCCCACATTCCCAGGTGCTCAGCAGAGCCGGAGCTGGAGCCCCCGACTTTCTCCTCACCTTGCCGTGGTCCTTCTTCATGTGGGAGACGTATTCGTCACGTTCCGGGAACCAGGAGTGGCAAACGCCGCACGTCCACCCGCTGCCCTTCGACTTGTTGACCGTCTTGCGCTGGAAGCGGCTTCGCTTGGTCTTCCGCAGTTCCGGGGAGCTGGGGGGCTCATCCTCCTCCGTGGAGGACGACGACTCCTCCGAGATCTTGGACACGGGGGTTTCGACAGGCTCCTGCTTCGGCGTGAGCAGGACGGCCGCCTTCTTTGCCAGGTCTTCCTTGGTCTTCTGGGGCTGATGGGTGTTCTGGAAAGCAAAGACACGGGTGTTGGCAGCTGTCTGGGGCTGGAGCTTTCCCCCCAGCACTGCAGCAGGCTAGAAAGCAAGCCTGCCCACCCCCAGGCCCCAGCCTGCACAGACCTACATCCCCTCAGCCTTTGGGACAGGGGTGTGGGGGACAAGGGAACCAGATCTCAGGGCCCTGCTGCGTCAGTGATGAACTGACAGCCCTAATCCAGCCCCTAGTGAAGGACAGTTCTCAAATACTAATATCAACGGGTTGTGCAAAGAGCGCCAAGCCCGGCCACAGCACTACCTTGAGGTGCTCCAGCATGGTGCGCTTCTGGGCGAAGAGCAGGGGGCAGTCCGGACACTTGAAGACACTGACCCGCTGGTTGAGCAGATGCTGGTCGAAATGGGAGGAGAGCAGGGGCTTGTGGGTGAAGACCGTGTCGCACATTGCACACTTGTAAATCATTCTGTCGGAGGAAAAAACAGCACTGTTGGCACAGCCTGGCTTTGATCAAGAGAATCTTGGAAAAAACCCTTTGGCAAGAGGGTTGAGAGCAGCCCTGGGCGCAGTCTGACCCACGCCAAGGGATGGGAAAGTAAAAAGGAGATGGATGCAGCTCCCCATGCTGGTGCTGAGCTCTTCCCCCAGCATCCCACCCACCGAGGATGCTCCCCGTTCTTAGAATCACAGAATAATTTAGTGTGGAAAAGACCTTTAAGATCATCAAGTCCAACTGTAAACCTACCACTGCCAAATCCACCACTAAGCCACGTCCCTAACCGCCACGTCTACAGGTCTTTTCAATACCCCCAGGGATGGTGACTCCACCACTTCCCTGGGCAGCCCGTTACCAATGCTTGACAACCCTTTCAGTGAAGAAATTTTTCCTACTATCCAACCTAAACCCCCCCCGGCACAACTTGAGGCCGTTTCCTCTCGTCCTATCACTTGTTAGGAGTGATCTTTTCTGGCGAGATCTGCCAGGACGTCAGCTCACGGGAAACACTTACTTGGACTGCTGGTTGCTGAAGCCGGGGTGCTGCGTGTAGACATGCGCGTGGGCGCTGGGGGCTGACTTGAACGCCATGGGGCAGATGGGGCACTTGTGGAACACCTCGCAGTGGGAGGTCTGGATGTGGGACTTGATGGAGTTGACCCCGCCGAAGACCACAGCGCAGCTGGGACACCTGGAGAGCAGAGGAGAGCGGGAGGCAAGGGGTAGGGGACAAACGGCACAGGGGAGCTCAGCCGTGCCACAGAGACCGGTGCAGACCAAGCACTAACAGCAAAGAGAAACCGGAGCACGAGGGCCCACGCCTGCTCCCTGTCCGACCACGGGACTCGGGAAGAGCCCCTGCCCCAACAGACACCAGGATCCAAACCAGTTCTGGGCTCTGGGAGGACTCCAGTTTGGAGTAACCAGTCCCGCCCAGCGCTGGTGGATCCAGGGCTCAGGCAGCTCATCAGAAGGAGCAGGGAGAGACTGGGGGGGTCTGACGCTGCCAGCCATGACTGAGGTCAAAACAGTGGCCAGGAGGTCCCAGGAAGAGGACAATTCCCCCGGGGTTAAAGGGGTGAGAACCAGAGAAGGGGTAGAGTGAGGGGTTCACCCTCAGCCCTGCACCCAGCACCGGTGGGGAGAAGGAATGTGGATTCCTGCCCCATCTGCAAAATGGAAACCCACCGCGGACTTGGGACTCTCCCCTTCAGTCCCGGGCGTCCCCCAGGTCCCTCTGGCCCGAGCTCTGGCCGCGGTGCCCTACCTGTACCCCACTCTGCGGGAGAAGTGCAGGCAGGCCTCCTTCAGGTGGGTCTCGAAGTTCGCCAGGAGGAAATTCCCTCCGCACTCGGGGCAGACATGGGGCGGTCGGTTTTTGTGCATCCGCTGATGGGCGTTAAAGCTGCAGCGATTGGACATGATCATGGGACACGTTGTACAAACCTGGGGGGAGAAGAGCATCGAGAGGTTCAGCCTGGCACATACCCGTGTGTACAAAAGGGCTTTTAAGCCTTTTCCGCAGATGGACGGGCTAACAACCTGCAACACCCAAAGCAGCCCCGATCCACGTGCCGCCGGGGGAAGAGAAGTGCTGGGACTCTGCAGGGCGTGTTTCAGGAGATAATCTGCTTGCGCCAGCTTGCTGGGTAATTGTTGAGGGTGTTTCGCATGCAGACAAGATGCCTTTTCCAGGCTTTTCATCACAGATGGGTCCCAGATGCAGCGCGTGCCAAGGGTTAGCCGGGGACCAGCCGCTCGGCGAGGGAGTTTTACTGGAGGGAGTGGGGGTGTATTCAAACCAGCTGCCAAAACTGTTTCGAAACTACTTCCAACTCCACACCAGGACACAGGCATGGGGATGTCGAGGGGAGAAGCTGACAAGGACTCGAGGAAACAGGACAGGGCTTCCAGTAGGAACTGCCCTGAAAGATGTGATTACCAGAGCAAAGGAAGGAAAGGAGCAGCCCCCAGGCAGATGCCACGCGCAGCAAGCTGTCCTCGGGCTCCCCTCACTGCCAGTACCCAGACTGGGGTCGAAAGTGCTGCCAAGAGAGACCCAAGGGTGATTTTGGCAGTGGGGCAACAGGAGGGAGTGAGGGATCGGACAGGGAACAGCAGCTAAAGACAGCCCGGGAGATGGAGCAGGGACAAGGGGCACGTCGGGAAGGGAGAGGGGATGAAAGGTGGCAGGTGAGGAAGAGGATTATGGAGGCTTATGGCTTCAGCCATCCCCAGCTCTTGCTGTGCTGAGGAAAGCCTCTGGGTCTCCTGTTTTTAAAGGAGAAAAAAGCTGTTTGTAGGCAGTGTTGGTTTAGGGAGGAGTCCGTCTGCTGGGTACGGGGACAAAGCTACTCTGGCTAGGTGAAGGCTGTTAACAGGTTTTGCCCTGCCAGCAACTTCACGTTGAATTTCCAAGCTCAAGCGCTCCCCGCAGATGGGCTCCCTCTGAGCCAGAAATACGCTGCCGCATTCACAGGCAGCAGGTGCCTGCGGGGAGATAAGGACGATTTCCCCCAGCTCGCCTGTCCCTGATCTCCTCTTCTTTGTGCCCTCCCACTGCTCCTGCCGCAGCACCACTGTGGATATCCCACCTTCACCGCGTCCCAAACCCTCCATCGGCACCAAGGCTAGGAGAGGGGATGGGAGTAAGAAATCCTCCCCTGTTAAAAGAAAGCTCCTCGGGACAATCCATATAAGCACGTGAATCTCTGCGCTCCTGGTGACCTTCAAACAGAAAGCAGCCCTCCTCTGTAGCAGCAGGGCCCTAATATCTGCATTTGAACAGCGTCCTGGCTACAGCAGCAGCTTCAAAGTAAACAGAGTTACCAGGAAGCAGCAAATTCCTTCTCTGCAAAGGAAGCCGGGGCCGGGGGGGGGGAGCCTGAACGTCTCTGGACAAAGGGAAAGGTGAAGACATGCCACAGGGAGGACAGGGCTCCTTTGTGGACCCGTTTTCCCTCCTGGCTTTTTAAAGGTCATCCCTCGGCAGCGTTCATCCTGTGTGTTTGCTGGGTGCTGCCTGCCCTAACAAACCAGGATGTGTTGGCAGCAGCAGGAAGCACCCGGGATCTCCAGGTTGGCTCTCGAAGAGGGGGAAAAAACCCCCAAACCAACACACACCCTGCTTTCTCCAGACTCCATTTGTGCTTCAAGCCGGCAAAAGAGGAAGCAGCGCCCACGGCTCTAACATGGCTCCGCAGGGACGGCTACGTCCCGCAGCGGATGCCAGCAGGCAGGGCACCGACACTCAGGGACCCGCTCGCCGCACCCCGGCTCCTGCACCCATGGGGCAGCTTTATCACCAGCCGACAACCGACAACAGCCTCCCTTCCCTCCACCCAGTGCCTTGTGGGCATGAACCAAACCCTGGCTCACGTGTTTTCCTTCCTGCATGAGTTTTACATCGGGAGGAATCGGGCATGCACAGGCAGGCGCTACCCAGATCACATTTGGAGAGTCCTCCACTTCTGTCCCGTGTCCCCAGGGATGGTTTGCTGTGGCTCTAACATCCAACTCCCACTGCCCTCCCACCTACGTACCGTGCTGCTGGTCGTCCCCGTGGTCACTGCCTGCTGGAAATGCGCGGCCAGCCCGGCTTTGTCTTTGCATTGCTCTTTGCACTCCAGGCACCTGAAGCAGCTGTAGTTGGTCTGCTCCGAGCTGCTGCTCAGAGGCAGGATGGGGAGGTCCTGAGCCCCATTGGCCGTGGCCAAGGCCTCCTGAGCCACGCCAGTCACTTTGCTAGCGGGGAAGGAGGTCACCGAGACCAGAGGGGTGATGTCCGGCTGTCCGATCATTTGATCCAAAGCGATCGGCCTCATGACCAAATGGGAGCACTGCATCACCAGGCCTTTGTCCTTGTGCTCCCGGGCGTGCAGGAGCAAACTGCACTTGTTGAAGAAGACGAGGCGTTTGGTGCAGTGGTTGCAGGTTACCTCAATGCGCATGCTTCGCCGGTCGTAGTGGCGAGCCAAGCTCTTCTCCAGGGCGAAGGAGTCCCCGCACTCCAGGCAGCGGTAACCGAAGGGAGGCAGGGCGAGGCTCGCGTCGGCCGGAGGATTCAGGTTGGGTTTGTACGTTGGCAAGAGGTTTTTACTGTTGAGGATCTTGTTAAAGGCTTCCACGAGGCTGGACTGGCTCCTGGAAATGACTGTGCCTGCGATGGTAGGGGAAGGCTTCTGCGGCTGCACCATCACAACTGTGGTGCCGTTGACTTTCTGGTTGGCCGTGGTGGTGATGGTGGTGGTCTGCGTCACGGTGCTGATGTTGGTCCTGGTGTCAGCTTTGGGCAGCGTCTGTGGCACCAGATTGATGATGTTCTTGGCCACGGCTTTACTCGTCTTTGCCGGCAGCACCACGGATTTTTGCTGAGCCACGCTGGCAGCGATCAGCATGGCGCTGCTGGCGTTCTGGATGGTGGAGACGGGCAGGACGGTCCCTTTGAGCTTGGTGCCATTGCCAAGCTGAACACTGACGATTTTTGGCCCCTCGATGGTTTTCAAGGGGCTGGAGAGCTCCATTTTCTCCTTGGGCACCTCCAGCGCGATCCCTTCCTCTTTCTCTGCTGATGCTGAGAAGCCGGCACCCTCAAGAGAGGTCTCCTGAGAGCTGTGCTCGGCCGGCCCCTTGGTGGAGCCCGGCTCTGAATCTGATGAGACCCTGGTCACTGTCCGGGTGATGCTGCCACAAGATGTTTTGATGGTTTTAATCCGCACCTTCAGGGGCCGCGAGGAATTCGAAGAAGGGGAATCATTGTTGTTGTCTTCTTCCTCCTCCTCTTCCTCAGCGCTGGACATACTCTGCGGACTTCCCATTGACTTCTCCAGAACTTCGTGCTCTTCCTTGAGGGTGATGCTGTCCAGCTGCTTTGGAGAAGTGGGGAGTCTGGGGCTTTGTACCACCGGCGAGGAAGGCTTGAAGAACGGCTCCCGGGGGCTGGCAGGCGAGCGTTTCACTTCAGGAAGGTTGCTGGTGCTGCTGTCGAGGTTTGGGTCAGAACCGGGCCAGGACGTGATGGGAGAATCATCTGTGGAGTAGCGAACGGTGACTGATTTCAGGTGATCCAAGGGACTGTCACCCAAGGCTGCAGCCAAACCCTTTGGGCTGGCTTCGTGGCCCACCTCCTCCGAGTCAGACTCCTCTTTTTTGATGCAGGAGATGGTAGGAGGGGACCCATTTGCACCCCCTGCCTGGCTTGTTTCAAAGGACTGTGGGAAAGCCGGGGGCAGGTTCTCCGTGCTCTCTCCCATGGGCTCTTTGCAGTCCAGCGACGGGGTGGGAGATGGGGAGAGGGAGGGCACGGCGAGGGATTTCTCTTTCGGCTTACACTCCCGGGGTCTGTCAATCAGGTTAGCAGCATTGTCTTCGTTGGGATCGGGGCTAAAATGGGAGAAGATATCCAGGGGTTTGGGGCCTTTTTCTTTCACCCAACACTCCCCGTTGGAGGACGCCACAGCTTCCACAGACCTGGAGGTGGGGGACCTGGGCATCACCGTGGCCCCAAAGCCATTCTGCAGCAAGCGGGGCCCAATGACGTGCCCATCTTTACCGCGCCCATCCAGGGCATCGAGCTGCTCGGGGCAGACGGTGTTCTTCACAATCACGCTGACAGCAGTGATGTCCGTGTGGGGGAGGACGTGGTCAGGGGGTCCCGGCTCCCCGGGGACTTGCTTGATGTGAGCGTCAGCTTCCTCATGGCCAGAATGGATGGCCTCATTCGTGTCAATGTCAGGAATATCGAAAGCTGCCAGAAGGTCATCAAAATCTGGAGTTTTCATGTCACCCATGGTGGGGAATATGGCAGAGTCTGCAACAGAGCAAGGAGAAGGAGCATTAGCACCGTGACCCGGGCACGCAGACGAAGCCATCAGAGACACGTAGCAGAGAAACAGATGGGAACTTGCTTCTCCTGAGCCCCATGCTAAGCACAAAATCCCCGTGCCGCCTTCTCTTTGAACCCCAGCCTCGTACCCCTTGGGCAAATCACAACACTTCTCAGCCTTTTTTGCTTTGTTTGTTTGCATATCATTTTTTGATCCCCAGCCAGGACAGAAGAAAGTTCAGAAGGATCCCAGCGTCTTGGGAGAGACGTCTGAGACCGTGGGATGCAGCCTGGCAAGGAGAGCACTGCCCCAAGGTCAGAGTGATTCCCCATGTACATATAAACTGAGGAAGGGCAACAGCTCCGCCGCAGAGGATCAGCGGGTTGCAATGAATCACCAGGCAGACGTGAGTCAGGACCAGAGAGCTGCAGAAAGAGCAAACGCCTCGCGAGGGGAACACGCCGTCAGGGGCACCCGATACAACGCAGGAACCGTCCTTCCCCCTGCGGCACCAAGACGGTCCCAAGGCCAGCCCCACGAGGACACGGCTCACGAGGAAGGTGTCCAGACAGTAACAAGAAGACTCAGATAACAGACCTCGAACACACGGGCTGTGGAGCAAAGGATAAAGAAATAGGGGAAGCTGAGGGGAGACATGGCAACAGGTTTCAAAACATGGCTGCGGCAGAGACAAAGGGAATAATGTTCCTCCTGTCGCTGCAGGCTGGGTAAGAAATCCCAGGATTAAGCTGCAGCCAGGGGATGTGGCTTAGACAGCAGGAAAGACTCTGATTTATAAGGATAACCAGGCAAAGGATCCCGCTAGGCAGTAAGACGGGGGACGCCCCATGTGCTGGAGAGCAGCTGGACGCCTGTCTGTCCGGGGGGAGCAGATCCGCCGGGAGGGGACGGGGCATCTTGGGAATGGTATTGGGGTACGCTGCCCTCGGGCTTTCTGCTCTTAGCATGGAGGGTGGATGGTTACTCCTAACATCAATCAGCAAAAGAAAAAAAAAAAAAAGAGGAGAAATGTTTATCTCAGAGGCTGCGAGGGGTAAATGCAAAGACCCTGCGGCCCCGCGGAGAGCCAGCCCTGGCAGTCGCCTCTTCCCCCAGCTCTCGGCGCTGCTTCTCAGCTGCCGCAGATTAAGCCAAGGCCACTGGAGCACTCACTGCCCGCCTGCCGCCACCCTGCCCTCGCCCTGCCTCCCCGCTGCAGGGGCGGCACGGCAGGACACGAATCCGATCCTCAGACAGCACAGCCGCGTCAGGG